TTTGTATCGCTCCAATCAACCTTTCTTAGATCCTGAAGTACTGGTTTGTGGCCTGTAAACCTCCCTCAATAATTAAATTTTTTGCTTATTTTTGTCGAAAATGGCTCCATGGGGGTCCTTGTAGTCAAATGTTTTATAATGCCATGCTTTCACTCTTTAACTGCCGGGCCATCTATGGAGCTGGCGTTTTTCCTTCTTATTCTTTCCTTTGCAGTCCGCTTTTTCCTTACGCTAGCAAAATAATTTCGTTGAATGTATTTCATCAACTTACTCCTTCTCAACCTGTTATAACCATTCAACTGTCAACAAATGGTAAAATATACTCTCGCGCGCTCTTAAAACGTCGCCAACCTGCCGTTAAATGGGCTGACAACAAAACTACAGGAAAGCATCACGACAGATAGCAGTTGGCCTCTAAGTGCGCGAAAGTGCACTATTTAGCTATTCAAGGAACATGTAACCGGTGCAGTAAATTTTTGTGCCGGGTGAATTAACCTTCACCATTTACTTTCATGTGCTTTTCTATCCGGTCCGCGTGTAACGTGTAACCGGGTTGAGACCCAAAATCTACTGGTTGCTGTGAATAACCATACTCTTATTACTAAAGCTACTTAACCGCCACGATTAGTTAGTTTGAAAATATTCCACAAGTAGTAAATTTTGGAAATATTATGCAGGGAATTTCAAACTGTACCGACGGCTGTAGTCTAGAATAAAGTGTTTGTTACTATTGTTATTGTTGTCATGATCAAGGAAACCTCTGCCCTCACGAAACAGAGTCATCTTGGTGAAACAAAAGGCCGTATCCAAAAAGCATATAGTGAACTGGACTCTCATCATGAGAACAACTTTGAAGCAAGTGTAAGCAGAAGAAGACCTCAGCTGCCTTGTTTTGCTCCTCCACCTTCTGTTGGCGCTTGGATGCAGGTCAAAGCGGCCCGCATTTGGGTCCCGGATTAATAGGTTTTTTGAGTGGATGGTGACTTCGGCAAGTTTTAGACAAAGGTCCTTTACTCTAACTGAACTGGAGAAGTCATTATTTTTGATCGACCTCTAGAATTCATCGTCAATGTAGCTGTGATGCCCACAGTCTCAAGTTTATTTTGGTATTATCCGTAATAGCTAGGCTGCAGCATCCCACGATGATTATTTTCCGCATCATTGTTGGGTAGATATAAACTTTCATCCAAAACGTTTGATTTTAAGTCCTGTTTGGTCTTTTACGTTATACCAAACTGTTTAAGCAAATGTGAGCCAGCGCTAAAAACCCTGGAATTATGAGTGCCGATGGTACGGAGATCGGCTGGTCATGAGATTCTGGCGACGCTGTGAGCAGGTGAGCCGCTGTGTTCAACTGCAGTCGCCCACCAACTACGCTGCTTGAATTCACGAAGACAACAATCATCACTTCAGAATTCCTTTGCTAGTTTCAGTATTCCACTTGAAACCACCGGCCACCAGAAGTATTTTTCCTGTCTTGCCTCCCTACTGACAATGGTTCATCGAAGCTAACCTACAGGGAACATAAGCTAAAGACACATAAATTGCAGGGGAGAAAGAAAGCATCTCAGACATCGTGTGACCAGCCTAAAGGCACCGGCACTGGTGGTAGTCTATCTCGAGATGCTTCAATGCTACGTGATGGCCAACTTAGTTCTGTGGGGTTGGGAGGCATTAAGCGTTAAGCAAATCTCTCTCTACAGAACTTTGTCGTGCTCTTCACTCGATTCTGACTGGTACTATGGACACTGAGGGAGGGAACGAAGCAAGGAATTTTGTCATCGTGTACTTCTTAACTTTCGTAGGCATTCAATCTTGACTTTAGGGTGAGTCGTGTTTTCGCCCCTATTTATCGATGCTCATAGTCCGGTCCACACCTTTTGGGCCTCATGAACGCTCATTTTTGTGTTCTATGATCACGTCGAAAGACAGTGCAATTCTGGAAAGAAGTATGGGTGTTTTCGTATTAAGTGGGTTTACTTTCCTTGTGCGAGCCAAATAGTTCGTGTTCTTAAAGAACTAGGTAAGTTGGTTCATTCCCTTTATCGGCTTGAAATAGTCAGCCTGGGGTAACTAGCAATTGGGTAAGGCAGTTCTGACACTGAGCACCCACTTCACTCATAGCTGGCTCCATGTATCTTCTCAGGAAGGACAAGGAGAAACCACATAAGACTACATGTTCGTACAGCTAAGTATAAAAATTCGATTTTCCCTTGACTAGCGCGCATTTTTTGTGACGAAAAAAGCGTTGGAGCAGAACCCACGGATCAACTTTATGAGAGTCGAAAGTCCCATTTCAATGATTCAACTAACAATGTGAAATTTTCTCGTGTCTAATATTCTTTACATTACTGAAAGTTTTGCAATGAAGCAATTCGAAATGTTGTAAAGGAGTATGTACATGCTTACATTTTGTCGTCACTGCAATTTGTCATGCTGAGAATTCCAATTTGCACCGCAAATCGTTTGGAATAAGGTGGATTATTATTACCATTATGATTATTGCAGCTGAGGTACATGTAACAAAACCACTTGACTGACTGCTTTCCCGAGAGTTCGTGGCACTGTAGGGGTACGCTTATGTCACGGGAGCACGGCAAGAGGAGTTCTGATTAGTAGTACTGCCTTCCAAACTGCAGTTTTTAGCAACATATGCATGGTTATAACCAGTGTTTAGACTTCGGTACATTGCGGGCGACTGTAGTAGGCCGACTGATCTGCCCTTTTTCCTTTACTCATCGCAACGAGCCCCAACGAAAGTCCTTCCCTTAGCTAATAGCTAATGGTCAGTTGGAACAAAGCGCCACCAGTATGGTATGGTGGTTTTTGGGAATTGGGATAACTGAGTATCCAACTACTGGGCACCTACGCCCCCAGCAGACAGGTTGACTGAACTCTCACTAGTGTGAGACATTGCGCGGCAGTTTAGTATTCACGGCCATACAACTGGGGCCATGACAACCACAGCTTGATATCTGAAGGGCAAACTCCTAGTACATGTGACATCGTACATAGCAAAAAATGAGCCGCCGGTTGAGTAATAAAGTAAACAAGTAGAAGACTGTGAAGTAACCGTCCAAGTTGCAAAGATGAAAGTGGAAGTTCCATCGAAAGAACCTTAATTTATTCTCCGCCCAAGTAGTCACCTTCCCAGACAGCCTGCAGAAAGTTACTATCAGTTAGTCATAGTGATGACCCATGGAAAAATATTGTGTGCAAAACTAAGCAGTCTATTAGAAAGTTAGTCTCCAGAAAAAATATTCCCTATATATGCACACAGATCAAACACTTGGATTTGAGAAATTAATGCGCAATCAACTACCAATGGTCGATAGGACATACAGAAGCAAGTATCATGAACATTCATCTTAATTACCTTTTCTCACGATCTCTAGGACATACAGAGGTACACCTGGGGATTGCCCAAACTTTGTCCGTCTCCCAGTGTCCAAAAGGCGCGCAACTTTCTCATGCATCTGGTCATCAAATTCTCCTTGGTCGTCTCCTCCGCATCTGAAGCCAACGCGTCTGCACCAAGGCAAACCAGTCACACTAACCTTAGTTGGCTTTGTTACTTCTGGCAAGTTTAGATACGCCATAATCAAGTCACTAGTCTTCAGATTTTCGACGAAAATTTCCACTCCTGACGCTCCTGCAAACAGTGATCGTCACTTAACTACCACGCCCCAAGCAGCACTGCCAAATAATTAACTTCCTTTCACCTTTTAGGAAAGTTACCTCGCTCCTTTACAGGTAAATAGAACCGAATCGTCTCCTCGTACAAAAGGTCATGATATCACTAGCACGACGTGGGCAAATGATCCATAAGGAACGTACAGAAGTGCTGACTTCTTTCGAGATATGTCCAAACACTTTTGTACTCTTTACTCGCTCTCGTTTTGACTGATTGACGCCCGCTCTATACGCAAAGAAATGAAGGAAATTATGTCGCTATCTATTATATGTGGTCAGTCCGCGATAGTGGTTACAGAAACATGGTGTACCTCCGATATTTGTGACACAGAGATCTCCATCGACAACTATTCCTTGTTCAGGAGGGACAGACTACATAGTAAGGGAGGAGAGTGAATCATGTATCTGAAGTCCGACATCACTGCTACGCAGTGCTCAACCCCTGAGCTAAACGATATTGACAACTCAGTGCGGGTTATCGCCAAACTTACTCGCTCCACATCTCTCCTAATAGGATGCATTTACCGGCCCCCTTCCTCCTCAGTCGAATAGGATGACGTGCTACAAGCGTGTTCGCTCGTGTGGTGACACTACCACGCAAAGCAAAAATCATATGTGGTGACTTTAACATGCCAGATATAACGTGGCAACCAATTAGCTATCCAAAGCGCTTAGATAAATTCATAAGCATTCTTGAAACAGAGAGTTGGCAACAAGTGGAACAACCTACGAGGTACAATAGTGTCCTGGACCTAGTCTTCACAAACGGAACCACACCCACAAAACTCCGAGCAGGTACACAATTTCCAGGTAGCGATTACAAGATAGGACAAATTTCTAAGACAGCTGTACGAAGCTGGTTTCGTTAAGCCAGGTGTCGACAAAAATTTTAACATTCAAAACCCACCTCCCCCCAGTACACTTACTTTTCCACAAGTACTTTTCACTCCTTTTTTCTCTTTTCGCAGTCCCTATTCGTCAGATTTTCCGCACTGCTTCTTAAGTAAGGTGTAATAATTACTTGTAGGTGGCTACGAAAACGGGAATTAAGAAGGGTTAACTGATTTCATCAGTAGATCTACTGCTCTTCTGAACAACGGAAGCTACAATTTGTAAAAAATGTACCTCCAAATCTATGAGGAGGTAAACTATAAAAACCTCGGCGATCATCGAAGAAGTATGACTGAACAGAAGAAAGTGATCCTTAAGGATTAGAAACGAGAGCTCAAAAATATCAAGTTTCATCTACCCGCAATATTGATATTGGATCTTATCTCTTGTAGCAGCTCATATATCTGCTGGGTCTTGGATGCGGTTGTTTGAAGTGTAAGCGGTACAGTAATTTGGAAATGCCAGTAAGCAATTCAGGAGTCTCAAGTCTGTAAGTGTATTAAAAATGTTTCGTACTTTCTGCGGCAATAAGTATTCAATCAGTCACTGTTAAGATGGTTCGAGTATAGTACATCTCGGCACATATTTGATACCACAGTGTTACAGTTAATGTCCCAAAAACTCAGTCAACCGTTTTGGAAAACCGGTAAAAATACAAAGCCAATCATACTATGAATGGAAACATCAAGCACTGCATCCAGCTTCCTGCTCATTCCGTATATTTGTTACTTGCTAGTTCAGTTTCACACATTAAATGTATCACAGTCAGGTAGAATAATGCACCGTGCAGCTCATCTGGTCAATCAACTAAAATGAGATCACGTTCATATAAATGTCTAGCCAACCTCATCCTAAATACGTACTTCAGGTTCCCATCCTCCTATCGAGTACGCAAAGGTTTAACTTATGAATATTGTTTGCGATTAGCGGCACGAAGAGGTACATATACTCGTACTAACATGATCGGAGTCCAAAAAGTTGCCTCAGAAAGAGCGGTAATCCCCCGCCAATCGTCTCCAACTATGGCTTATAGCAATATGGTCTGTCTGTGTTCATCTTTGGTTTGATGTCAGTGGACGCTACAGGAGACATTGTTTCTTCTTATGCCTAACGTCACTACTGACTAGAAACAAGTGGTTGTGGGGATAAAATTGCAAGAGATGACTCAGACTAGAAGTCAAAAACCTCACTTATTGCGGCTATTCTAGTCTGGCTACCCATGATCTTTCTCCAGCTTAAACGTAATTCAGTTAACATTTTGAGACTAGACAGACGATGACTAAGCATGCGTAACACATGTCCCGGTCACCTGACTCGATAAATACTCACAACTTCCCAAAAGACTTTTCTCTTCCCTCTTGAACTCCACACAACTTCTGTATTACTGACCTTGCGGCACTACAGCACAGTCAATCCTACGAAACCTACGATGGTTAAATACTTGAAGCCTTCTCATTTCCCCTACCCGATCGATAGGTGCCAAACCGACGTCTATTCGTAAATATTTAGTAAGTTGAGTAGACCATAACAGAGTTCAACCTAGTGATGGGTTCTTTTCTTCCTTTATGCCTTTATTATACTGCTAACCGTCTTCTATCTATCGGGTAGCAAACCCTAGTGTATGATTCTCAACAGTGTACTGATGTGTAGATGGGATTACGCCGTATGTAATCCACTAAAACTTTTTGAAAGGCTTTGAGCTTACGTTTGTATCCCCTTCCCCTGGCAACTATTCAGACTTATTAAGCATATCAACAAAAGGAAGATGATGGTTAGTGAAAATCTCAGCATTAAAGATGGCACGCCGACTACTTTTAAGAAAAAATGGGTGGAAGGTCGGACAGAACGCCTTAAAGTACAGTTCGTCTAGCAGAGATCAGCGCTTCAGTTGCTTAGCATCCGACCCGAACCTGAATGGGACTTAGATGGTCGGTCCTCCAGCTGTCCTCAAAGTTGAGAAGACTGCTTTGAACCTGGAAAAGTGCAAAACAGCACGATATGGTGGTTCGCTACTCGAAGTTTGCAAGGATTGCGTCAGTAAATTGCTGTCTACGGTAATGGAGGTACCAAGTGTATAGGAGTCAACAGTCCTATCAGACTGGTCTGCTTCAGTGATCATTCCAGTCTATAAGAAGAAAGATAAGTCATCTCGTGACAATCAGAGAGGATGAACTTCAATTAATATCGTGTCCAGATTCATATTTAGCCAATGCCTAACTACAGCTCAAGGACAGCAAGCTCGAGAAAACCAGTTAGTTTTTATGAATCTATGAGGGTGCATCGATCAGATGTTCACCCTCCGACAGATTCTGGAACACAGGCATACTTACTGGCGACCGACACTTGGGATATTTGTTAACCTGAAGGCGATCGTGAGGTGTGGCAGTGTTTGAATGTGAAAGGAGTATCGAGAAAGTATGTAGTGGTAATCAGAGCTCCCCACTTGAACTCGCGCAGCGGCGTAGTAGTGTGTGTAGTGTTTTTACCTGAATTGACTTGAAGTGCACCGATAATATTGTCCTGCTAGGCGAAGACGTTGAACGCGTTGAGCAAAATCTAAATATGTTTGGCATGCGTTCTATACCTATCAATTGTAAGATGTTGCTTCAGGAATGGTCTGTAACTACTCCTGGTTTAAGGATAGGGAGTGAAGTGTTGGAATGTGTCGACCATTTCACTTTGGGAGTTGCATCGGCCTGAGCGACTTGTTTGTTGACAAATTCTTAGCTCCAGTGAAGAAGGTTTGTTTGCCATTCGTCAACTTGCGTCCTCTGTGGCACTGACTGGCGAGATTGAGGACTCTTGGTGACGGCTGAAAATTAGTAACAATGGGACGGATTTATTCACTCTCTTACATCTTGTAAGCCTTGAATATGTTCACTTACCTTTTAAAAATATTTTTCTCCCCTCATACAACTTTGTCTATTTTGATGTCATTTTTTTTCGGTCCATTCCTTGCGTGCATGCTGCGGTGAGATGTGGCGATGGATGTGTGTGTGTGTGTGTGAGGTTTTACGTTTAGTGTTTCTGACTTGAAGTGATATGGCTTAGAATCGATCCCAGTGGCGTATATATATCCAAACACGATCTTCATCTTAATCGTCACACTGAATTAAGTATTTTCCTATTCTTCTTTCCTCTCTTTTACAACTTATTACTACTTCCGACCTGTTCTTCTCTATTTCACTATCTTTGATCCCAGTGCTTTCTTGTTCGATGTGATGTTTTAAGGTATTGGAATTTGGACTGTTATGCTATAGTGTCTGATCCCATGTTGATATTGATGATAATGAGGTTGATGTAATGGTTTATTAGCTCAGTCGTAGCATCTTAAAATTAGCACATTTATTGGAAACTGTAGGGAAACCAACTTCATCTTGTTTAGTCCAAAGTGTTGATCGAATTCTCTCGATTATTTTGCAAAGTGAACACCAACGCGATGCACTAGGTCAGATGCTAGTTGGGTGTAGTTTGTTGACAGAAAGCCTTGAACCTAAGTTTAGTGTTTTTTAGCACGCGTCAGCAGGATACATGCGGAACCTCAACGGAACAAATGTCTCCTGAGATTCGAACCTCCACCCTTGAAGCAATTAGTCCCTCTTCATCAGATTAAGTAACATAATTACAAGACGCCGTTTATCTGCATAATGTTTTGTTTTTCGTCAGCACATCATATTATTCAGGTAAACTTTATTTTTTGAATTCGCTAGCTACATTGCGGTCACATTTACTTTCCTTATAATTCATATCAATAAGAGTAATAAATAACACTTTTAAATCAGTTCCGGCTAATGAGAAAAGACTGGCGAAAACGAGTTCAAAACTGATGAAAGTCACCATCGAAGCTTTTGATGTGAAAACGCAGTTCAACCCCGGAACAAATAAAAATCTCGTATATGATTAAGTACTGAACAAATACGTTTTTGCATGGCAGAATTTCCTCACCTTTGTCATCGAAATAGTTGGGACTTTTAAAATTTTGATAAAAAGGAGTAACCATGAAACGTTTCCGCCTGCTGCAAAACTGGACCCCTTTTAGTGAATTTACTGAAAGACTGCTCATTGGCACTGTATTCTGTGCTAGAGTCACCTGTCTGATTGTATTGCTGTTAAAAGTAAAACATATCAAGAAGTTAGGTTTCCGGTCATAAGTGCTCTCGCAGCATCCGTCGCGTGTGATGGATCCATTGTGACCACTATTTGGGTTAGGCGTAGAGTACTAGATAAGGAAGGTAAATCAATCAGTGAGGTTGTATAGCTTTACAGACTGAGGTAGCTTGGACATGTTGCTCACATAGGACCGCCACTTATTTCGGAGTGTGATGTTAACCAAAATAGGATTTTGTTATGTGAAAGCTAAGAATAACCAGAGCAAGACGGCGCTATTCGGTGACGTTTTTGACTGTTCATGTGTGCCATACAGAGGGATGTTGGTTGTCTGGCTGGGACCCTCGGTATATTAAGAATCAAATGTTAGAGTAATATGGCTCAAAATGAGTCATAGTGGTACATATATGCATACTTCTCTTCATCTTTTAAGTCTTGACTGTTTTCATTCATTTTCATATATGTACTGTCTCTCCTCTCATATACTTTTATGTAATTCGTTTGTCATCCAGATTGCCAGGTTCTACGTTAGTTTTTCTGTCCATCTTCTTTGTTCTAACTCTGTTTTTTTTTTTACATCGTTTTGCCTGCATTCAGTTACAGCAACATATAATTGAATCTAGGGTCAGGTGACCTGTAACTTCAGTATGGTTGGTGTTTCTATTCGATGAACAAAGTCACTGTAAGTACTAGCTCTGATTGTTTGAACACAGTTGTTGTGAGCCGTCCCTATGAGCCCCATATCACTATATCTGCATTATCGCAACCTCATCTTTTTCACACAAAATGATAATATTTTCATTTCATTGTCTTCTCTGTTGCTTCCTTCTATTATGATTTGGTGATGTGATTTGTGGCAACTGATACTGTTATACAGTTATACCAGTTCGTAAGCTGTTAGTATCTGACTGCCTTCTACATTGATCTTTGTTTATTGGCTTTCTGTGCAAATGAAAGTATTAAAAATTGACCAGTTCATTATTTAGCTCCGCAAAGTCAAGGATAGTCGCTTTGAATTAGCACCTCTTTGTGTATCCTGATCCGTTGGATAGCGATTTATAGATCACTGTATTCGCATCTTAGTAAGCACAAGTCATTTAGAGCTGCTGGTATTGCTGATATAGCTTTTTGGGGTCTTCTGTTTCAACAGCAGTACGAATAAACAATGAACGTTTCTTTAATGAATCATATTCTATTATCCTCCATTTTCTCGTATATTTCTTTGCTTAAGTAAATTACAAGTCATTTGAATGAACACACGGTATTCTTTTCGATAACTTCTACAGGTTCTACAGGTATGTGTACATACTGGGGAATTATGCATGAACAATATTAAAATTTCGCCCATCAGTTTGTTAATGATATTGTACATTTGAGGAAGTCAATTCACTTACGTCGTCTGCTGCTCTAGGGATTTCATTTTCAGTGCTCGTGAACACCTTCCAGCGTGGTTAAGTAAAGGTCTGGTAAAGATCATTACCAGCATGCATATTACCACGCTTGGTTAAAACAACTCATAAGGTGGATATAAATAAGTCGTTTTCCATTCTGTACTGGGTCCCTATCAACTTGGCTAAAGGTACGTGGCTCCGAGTCCTTCAGTCTGCAGAAAAAGTAGTAATCAGGACCGAACAACCAGAGTTGTGTCCAAAAAAGCAGGCGTTTTCGCCACAACTACGGTACCCCGATTTGGGACGCACAAATTCATTCACGTATTATCCCAAGTAATCTGATTTTATAATCCTATTCTGTAGAGATACCCCTTCATCCCCATAATCTGAAATAATTTCTATAGATTCTTTTTGTCCCTCAACATAAGTAAAATCCTGTTAGGCTATTATTCCTCAAATTATCCTTAGTTTATTTCGTCTAGCTTTCATAAACACCTCCCTATTGTTTTATTAAACTATCACCTTATGGCATTACCTATGCAGTATAATCGCTTAGATATTCAATTACTGTGAATTGAATCTCAGTGACAATTGGTTTTTGAGGGAGTTGTGGAGATTTGGAATTATTTCAAGTTGTTATTCATCGTAGACTGACATCAGTTGGAGAAACAAAGGAAACCTGAGAGCACTGGACAGCTGTTTCGTCCTAGTATGGGACTCCTCAGCAGTGCGCACCCACTACCCCACCAGCAGGGATCGAACCCGCGACCTTCAGGTTCCGCGACCAGCGCGTTACCATTGAGCCACTGGGTCAGAATCCAATGCTCCATATTTCCAACTTCTGTTAGCTCATGATATATAGCGCAACCGCCACCCAATGTCATCGCTGAGTATTTGTCCTCATGGCCATCAGGCTTTGACTCCACCGGTCACGACTTGTCATTGGAACTTCGGGAATACTTCTCGAAACTAGTCACCAATGAGCACTAGTTCAATTAAATTTTGAGGGAGTTGTGGAGATTTGGAATTATTTCAAGTTGTTATTCATCGTAGACTGACCAGGTTTCCTTTGTTCCTCCAACTGATGTCAGTCTTCGATGAATAACAACTTGAAATAATTCCAAATCTCCACAACTCCCTCAAAATTTAATTGAACTAGTGCTCATTGGTGACTAGTTTCGAGAAGTATTCCCGAAGTTCCAATGACAAGTCGTGACCGGTGGAGTCAAAGCCTGATGGCCATGAGGACAATTGGTTTTATCATTAATGTTTACAAAAGACTTTTCTGAATCGGCTTTCTTAATTGTATAATATTATTAACAAACTGATGAGCGAAATCTCAATATTATTGACGCATCATTCCTCAATACATACACACAACCAACTGTGGGACCTGAAGTTGTGGAAAAAATGTTCGTTGTTCACTCGAATAGCTTTGGGATTATAATGGGAATTTTTAATGATTTCATAAATTAGTTTGAGTCAGTTTTTATGTATCTATGTTGTAAAGTTTGCGTTCAAACAACATCAATGTGCTGAATGTCAGGTCGTTTCATACCTACTTGTTCCCCATTTCATTCAATTCTCCAAATTCTTCACTGATATGCTAATCGTTTTCCTGTTTCGAAGTTGTGTAACTGGGAGAGATTTTCCCTTCTACTAGGTTCTAATCTTAGGTGGTGTATGTTAGGGATCAATCGATATGCAGCTCTTTACCTAGGTTTTGCTTTCTGGTACTTACCAGCATTGAAGAGATTCGTATTTTCTCACACACTTAAACCCACATCACTCAGTGCTGAATTTAGAAAGTTTTCAACTAAACGCTTCGAACTTCAACTGGTCATCTTTAGGACTAGATTATGTACAAAAGTAGATCACTGGTTAGTCAAATGTCAAACTTGATCGAGAAACTATATTTAGCACGATGGAATTGCCAGCTACCTTGGCTGCCATCCGTTTTATATAATCTAGATATGCGAAGGATTAGTCGTGACTTGGATAGCTTAGCGGTAAGTAATCCAGCTTGAGGACTAAGTGACGTGTATTCGATTCTCTGAGGTGACATGTATTCCACTAAAGTAGGGGGTACGCTCTACTAACGAGTACCGGCAATCAGAGAACCTGAATCCAGGACTCCCTGTTGATTATCTCAATACCAAAGTGTGCATCTCAGTATTGCATCACCTAGCTTAGTGGTCAATGAAAACTTCAGTTGACTCCAAGGGTTTGACAACCATACAGACTATCATTCAGTGACAGATTCCTACCAAAAAAATATATTTGTAAAATTACAAAAGTAGGAAGACAAATTTCTGAAGCCACTTTTTCAGAGAATAAAACTTGTACAATTAGTTATAACATGTTCAACTAGCAACTGCTGTTCATGCCATTCTTCATAGTCACAGAAGTGACATCGGAATTATTGAAAACATTCAGAAAGGATTTTCAAACTACAAAGAGACATAACTGAAGCATTTCACATTACGTTAAGTCACAACACACTCAACAGAACGGAAGGCCTACTTTAATTATCCAACCTGCTGAGACAACCTATCCGAAATAACATATATACACTGATCTTAACTAATGTACACAAACAAGCAAATTGGATTTTTCACAAATTCGCACCCATTCACATATGCATATATATTCGCATCTTAACCTTGAGTTCACAGACTAATAATTGACAGCGGTAATATTTATTCCTATATTGTTATCATTTTTATGCATATGTGTGAATAACGTCACCTAGTTTATTCCCAGTTGCTATTTGAACAGGCTAACTACTTGTACACGTTTTATTCTGTGAAAAGTGGCTTCCGTAAGGTCGCGAAACGTCAGAAATTTGTTTTCTGTGATTTTACAGGTATATTTACTTTACCAATCATTTGCCCGAATGCTCAACTTATTCAATTCTGAGGTCGAATTCCGATCATGAAGTCTACACGATTTCCATAAGCTTTTAGTTTTCACTTGTTTTGCCTGTTGTTTGTTTCGGTCACTTTTGATACGACTTGTTCGACCTGGTTCGACACTAATGAGAACGTTACTGATGGGATGAGCACCTACTTCCTTGTTGGAATTAGGTATTTTCTTATTGCACTACTATACATATACTCTTTCTCTTGTTTTTTTTTGGTGTGTATTGGTCTCTATAATATTCGTCTTTACAGTCACTTGAATCAACGTACCCTTTTTCATATCTTGCATACTAACACCTTCAAAACACTGACATATCCAAAACAACCGGGTTATAGGATATCATGAACCAAACGAGAAAACCAGAGTGCAAGACTTTGATTTCTATCGATATCAAATAAAGCCCTCACAAAAAACGAGTCCAATACGAGCATGGTTGATAGGTGAATCATTTATAGTGCGAGAAGTAATCTAACCAGACTTCACTTTATTCTTTTACTGTCAATCACCAGATCGCTTTTCAATAGCTTTTTGCGTAAAAATGTTTACAATCCATGTACTCTATTTTTTCTTTATAGACAACCAGTGCGTGATCCTGTATTGTTTCCTCTGGGACTGAAAGACGAGGCTAAAATATCTTTAGGTTCAGAGAGTATTACAATACACGCTAAAGATTTACGAAAGATAGCTCATCTAGGTAGGTAACTCACTTTATTTTATAGTAATTTGAGACTTCTCACAATTTTATTTAGTTTGAATGTCTGTTTACTCCCGTTATTTTCTCTTACTGATAGAATCGACATGAAACTTTGTCAAAAAGAGCACCAATATTTATGACTGTTCGATAATAGCACACGAAGAGGAAGTGAACAGAAGTAGAATGAAACGAGGAGAATAGAGTTATTTAACTTCATTAAATGAATAAATGGATAAGAAATATGATAGCACTAAAATTATGAAAAAGAACCCTAGACTGTATATATATATATATATATATATATATATATATATATATATATATATATATATATGCAAAATATATGTCAGCTAGATGTACCTGCCTCACAGAGTGATGTTGTTCCCACCGGGACTCGGACTCGTGAGCGATCGCTTCAAACGATAGAGCGTTATCCACTACACCACTGAGCCACGATAGCCACTTCTTGTGCAATAACACTATTGGGTAACATGTTTGAACTTACCGCACATTGTGAAGTTGGAATAGTCGGCTCATTTATGATGGGTGGAGCTCATCCCCAGATGTACGAACCGGCATGTGTTTATGGAGTTACATTATTTAACAGGATGGATCATCATGCCAAAGTAGCAGTTAAAGTTTATGAGTAATACTTGAAGTGTCGTCAATTAGTTTTGAATGTGTTAGTGGTCATTCTGTTGTAATTCAAACCGTGCCCACCACCATACATAGAAAAAGTGGAATTCCACACATGTCCTTGTTAATTAATTTTTCCATGTTTTGGTCTAAGACAATCAGTTTTTTGTAACCTCGTTTGATGAAACTTAATTGTACCCACCTGGATAACTTTCATCGTTACTTTGGCAACTGTACCTGCCACTTTTAGAGATGTTCGTCCCTTTAATGCTGCTAAACAAATGTTCTCAAACGTAGTTAGAGATGATAAATCCGGTGTCTTTATTCAACTGAAAAGTTTTTCTTAAAACTCATAAGACTGTATCTGTCTGTGCTTATTTTAAATAACCTCTGAAAACACAGTTGTTAAAATAACTGTTTAGAAAGCTTCATGTTTAGTGTCTGACATCACGTCACACTCTGTCTATCAGCAGTTACTTATATAACTAATGTTGAAATCTACAGTTTTATTAGTTCCTTGGACCATTCAAATACCTGTCACTTCAAAAGATCAGTGTTAAAGGATCTTTTTGAATCTATCCTTGATATGACCACCTTTGCATAGTTGATACAACATTGTCTGCAGAATAAATTCTACCCGTACCATATCAAGGAAAGTATCAGTCATTGTAAGTAATGCTGTTGATCAGAAGTCTCCAGCAGTGTGTCAACATCTAGCTGATGTAAGAGCGTAATCTGTATATCCTTGTAAATATCTTTCTAGAGCTTTTTTTTCTTCCCTCTTTGACTTCGCTAGTCTACATCCGAATAGGCTCATGACTTTTCTTAACTGCCTGTGTGCTTGTCAGCATTCGTATGAAGCATGACTCGTAAGTCAGATTAAAACAACGATTTTTTGTTTATCCTCCCAAACTGAATTGTGTTATTCTTATAAATGCATAGGTCGCTGACTCACAACTTTGCTGTGTTTAATTCAGTCACTGAATGACCAAGTGAGTAGACACCTTTATGAAGCAGTCTAATGCTTTGCTTTATGATAGATTGGAATCAGATCAGCACTGATTGTAAAAATTTATGATTGGCGGGTGTTTTTATAGTCTCATATTCTGCTTGTTCAACCACCTAACTGGTGGTGAATGAAATGTGGGGAAAATGAACGTGAAATGAGTCTTATATCTTGATAGTCATGAGTCAGATAAATCTGTCACTCATCACAGCTTTCATTGATTATCATTTAAAGTAATTACTTTGGCTATGGTTCGTGATATTCCATATCACCTTGATAAATTATATTCAAATATAGAGTAATAGGAAGTGGTTGTATAAAACACGTGGTAACACAACAGTGAATATTCGTTTTCTAATCACTTTAATTTTAATCATATCTGTATGATTTTAATGCCCAATAGTCACTGATTTTCTATTGCTTAGGGTCTGGTTATTATGGAAGGGTAGAAAAAATGATCCATACACCAACTTCGCATGTGTTCGCCGTAAAACATATTTCAGTACATTTAAACTATCTGTCCAGACCCCTTATTTCTCGTGAATTGGCTGTTGGTACACGTTGCAATCATCGATCCGTCGTAACCTGCTACTGTGGCCTCTTTTGTGAAGGTGATGTTCTCATAGTTATGGAGTTAATGGATACATCATTAGATAAATTACTTAAAAAGGTGAGTTGTTTTTAAATACCCTCGCCTTTGTAAAACAGTTGGTCCTTTGATAAATATTAACAGTGTAGTGAGAAGACGAAAATTATCTATAGGATATTTTTTACTCGGCTCAGCCCTCCCTATTTAAATGTTGATGTAACGAGATGAGATACTCGACACACGGCAAGGAACAGTGATGTGTACGGTTACTGATGGTTAAAAGTTATATCCGTACCGTTGTGAATGTTCGTATACTTGACGACTTGTGTTGTGATGCTTCCAGGTTGTCCATAATATGAATTTCGGTATCCTAAATCATCTGAACTATAAAACGGGTCAGTTTAGGGTGATCACCGAGTCCAAGGGGTATTTACTCCAAACCAACCACACAGTCTTATTTTAGTAGTAACCACTTTTACTTTCAGCTCATCATCTTGGTAGGACCTGAATGAACAAATGTTCTAACCAGCTAATCTCAATTCGGCTACTGCCATAAAAACAGACCTAACTACTAGTTCATGGTAGCAGTTATGAAGTTAACTGATTCATAAATTAATCTATATTTCCATCCGAATAGATCATATCAAGTATACTAGAAGTTTGTGAAACCATTTACTGATAAGTCATCTCCACCAGCTTCTAGAAGTCGGTTATTTAAAAGTTTGTATTTGATCTCAACCTTTGAGGTGTTTCAACAGTATCATCATCTCAGTATAACTTTCCCAAGTGCTAGATATAAATTAGCCCGTAATTCTGAAATATTCAAACAATTCACAGCTACGTTATATTACGCTATGTTCGTAGTATTAGTTGAATGCCTTGTCACTCTTAAAATATTGAAAATATTATCAAAATATTATGCCCTAGAAGGAATTCAAGTGGAAATTGCGTTTGAGTTATTTTTGCTGGGTTTTTATTTCATGATATAATTCGTTATTCATCATTCCCTGTTTCTAGGTTTACAAGTGTGGTTGTATTTTTCCTACTGACGTGTTGGCTTACATTGTATTATCAGTTGTTGAAGCTCTTGAATATCTTCATCAACTTGAAGTTATACATCGTGATGTTAAACCTTCAAACATGCTTGCGGATTGTCATGGTCGAGTGAAGGTGAGAATGAATGAGAGTTGATTCCTTGATTCGCATTTTAAGTTGATATCTGCAGTCTTGTTTAAATGTAGACAATTTAATGAATTCAGTTTCGTAGTTTGTGGGATTTCAGTTTCGTATTCATCATGGGCTGATATCAGTTAGAGGAACATTGGAAATCTGAGAGCACTGAACAGCTGTTTCGTCCTAGTATAGAACTCCTGAGCGATGCCCACTCAGGACCTCGCCCTCCAAGGATCGAACCCAGGACCTTCAGGTTCTGTGGCCAGTACATTTCATTGAGCCATTGAGTCGGAATCCAATGGTCTATGTTTCCTACTTCTGTCGGTTCACGAAGAGTCCCATACTAAAACGAAACAGGTGTTCGGTTCTCCCAGGTTTCCAATATTTCTTCAACTGATGTCAGTTCATGACGAATACAAATTTGAAGTTTAATGAATGCTTTATTCAAAGTGCAATTGTTGTGCATTCAGCTAACACCATTTTTAATTTTTTTTAAAAATTTCATAAATAAGGTTTGCGATTTTGGAATCTCAGCTGATCTAGAGAATTCAATTGCACTAACTAACATAGGTACAAGGGCTTATTTAGCTCCAGAAAGAATTAATACCCGAGAGAATGAAGGATTCTGTATTCGTTCAGATGTTTGGTCGCTTGGTTTGAGTGTATTAGAATTAGCAACAGGGAAACCTTGTTATCCTCAATCACAAAATGTATTTCAACAGTTGGTTCAGGTAAGCATATATTTTGTTCATAGATAAGCTTATGTTAAAGCTATTTATCTGCTGAATATAACTGTCCATTTAAGCGTTAGAATTGAAATTTCAGTTTTAGGAGTTTTGACACTTATTTCCCCAAGTTTAAATAATGGAATTGTTTTTGGCAACATGTGCACCTAAACTAAACTTCTCATTATCCCACTTGATGGGCATGACATTTAATATGTACATGATGCTGTGGTTCACTGGTTTAGGCACCCAACTTTCAACCAATAGATCATGTATTCGGATACCAATCCGTTTGTAGAGATCTAGGCAACCGTGTGGCATCATTAGCCTTTACATATAATAAGTTCGGTTCATCGATTAGTTCTTAGATCTCCAGATGGTTGTTGATTTGTTTCTATCTAACATTCCCTATTTCATACAATATGTGTCAATCAATCATTCAATATCAACATAGGACCGACCAGGCATTACTGCGTAACGGTCCGAGTTGCCACAGCTCATTTCAGTACATCAAGTAGAAAGGTAGTGAGGTGAAGGATTAAGATAAGAGAATGCAGTCAAAAGAAATATAAAGTACGAGAAGAAAGAAAAGAGGAATGAAAAAAATGGTGAGATTCGGTATAGCGTCGTTAAGATGAGGATAATGTGTGTATACATCTGCGCCACTGACATCGGTTCTGAGCCATGCCATCACCTAGGGTCTCCAACCACTGGTTCCTGTTGTCCTGCGGACCCCAACCACCTAGTCTGCATTGCCCCACATGGCTGAAACCAACAGTCAAAGACTTCATACACTGGTCTGACCGTCTCGGGCCTTTTCCCAGCCTGTACCCACCTCAGCCAACATTGTGTGACGAGACAGTCGGTGACTGGGCATATATAGTACGTGTCCCAACCATCTCAATCGATGAAGGTTCATAACCTCCCTACAACTCTACACCTGACTTCTGCGTAACTCACTTGGTGACACCACGGAATACGGCGGCCTACACTACGAAGGCAACGGTGCTCAAACATTTGAAGCCTTCTTATATCTTCCACTTTCAGTGGCCATGTTTCACAGCCATACAGTAGAACAGAGTGGACTGCTGTGCAGTATACGTGACCCTTAATAGACAAACAGATATCACGGCGGTGCCATAGGTGGCGTAAATTGGCAAAAGCCAACCGAGCCTTTTGTATCCGTGCAGAGATTTCATCGGCAACTAACCCACCAGGGTTGGTCCTACTTCCCAGGTAAGTGAAGTGGTCAACACACTCAACCACTTCACTCTCTATTGTTAGCCGCGGCACCGTTGAAGACCAGTCCTGGAGCAATAATTCGCATTTGGGTGGTGAGAAACGCATCCCAAACATCCTTAAATTCCCACTCAAAGTGTTCAGAAGACTCTGCATCTTGTCAGCGTCTTCACCTAACAGGACTATGTCATCTGTATATTCTAGATCTAAAGAAAATTCACCTGTGATTGGGTCAACGTTTGTGTAATTAGGTGACGAGAGGGAAACCTCCATAAGAATATCTATGATAAAATTAAATAAGAATGGAGAGAGTGGGCATCCTTGACGGACATGACTCGATGAGTATAGCTCCCTAGACAACTCACCATAGGCTCTAACATGCCCACAAGTGTTCGAGTAGAGGGCCTTCAATAAGGTGATGTACTTACTAGGCACGCCTTTCAGTGAGAGACATTGCCATAAGACTTCTCGATCAACGGAGTCGAATGCCGCCTTCAAGTCGAGAAATACAATTATTGTCGGGCGTTTGTAAGCATGCCTATGTTCCAGGACCTGGCCTAGTGTGAATATTTGGTCGATACACCCGCGGCTGGGTCTAAAGCCTGCTTGGTTTCTCGGACTTGCTGTTCCCAAGCTCCACTCAGGCGTCGGAGAATTATAGAATCTAGAATCTTAGACACTATGTCGTCAGGCTGATTCCTCTGTGGTTATCACAAGAGGACTTCTCGCCTTTCTTGAAGACTGTGATAATCAGCGACTTAGACAAGTCAGAGGGGATCGTATTTGATTCCCATATACTGGTTAACACTTCTGTTAACCTGACTAAGAGCACTCTACCACCATTCTTGTATGCCTCAGTAGGTAGTCCATCTGGTCCTGCTGCCCCTCCTCGTTTCAGGTTACCTACCGCTTTCTCATCTTCTTCTAGTGTTGGGGGACCTATCTCAATGTTCCATTCAGGATCCGATTGGATAGCGGGTCACGCAATGGTGTTTGGAGGTCAGTTAAACTGCTCCTCAAAGTGTTCTGCCCATCGTTCCAATCATCTCCATTGCAAGTGAATCGCAGATCCGTCCTTCTCCGCTATAGCCTCACTAATCGCAGTTGACCTTTTCCTCCAGTCTCCTTAATAGGTCTAAATAACTGTCTACTGTTAACAACTGCCACTGCCTTTTCCATCTATTTAGCCTTCATTATTGCCCACCATTGTTCGCGGTCGTTGTGTAGACTTTTTCTCAGTCTACTTTTAAGCTGTGTCCGCTGCTCTTCATTGTACTCAGACCCTGCAGTAATGTGTTCATGTGCATCCATTAGTTCGGAAGAAGCTCTTTTTGGCCGCCATTTTGGCTTTGGTTACAGTCTTCTTCTGGATGGGTGACAGTCTTTTGTTCCGATAACTGCCTAGCCGACTTCTCACTAAACACGGCTTTGGTGTTTCCGTTGTCCAGCAGCACTCGTAGTTGTTTTGTTGCCAGGTCTTTCTTACGTTAATTGGGACGCAGGCATATACGTTCTCGGACCAAAGCATGATTGCTTTCCAAGTACGTACTCCAGAAGGAGCGGCAGTCTTCCACCGATCCTCTCCAGCGATGACTAATAGCAATGTGGTCTATCTGTGTCCATCGCTGAGTTGAGCTCGGTGGACGCCAGGTCAGACAGTGCCTTTCTTTATGTCTGAAATTGGTGCTGGCTAAAAATAGGCGGTTATCTGAGCATAGTTGTAATAGGCGATCACCGTTATCTGTACGTTCAGCTGGGATTCCGAAAGTGCCACCTAAGTGCCTTTCTGCCTCACTCAGTCTACCCACCTGTGCGTTGAGGTCACCTGCAACAACCACTACGTCCGAACGTTTGGCTTTCGAGAGGAGGTTAGACAGTTTATGGTAGAACTCGTCCTTCACTTCATCCGAGCTGCAGTCAGTGGGTGCGTAAGCAGAGATTACAAAGAGACAACGGCGAGTCTCACTATTCCTTTTAGTTCTCACTGTGCCGTTCAGCCTCATAGCGCAGAGGCGACTATCAACTGGGATCCAGTCTAGTAGTGAGTTTTCTGCCCTGGTGCTTAATGCTATACCTACACCTGCAAGACCACGAGAGCTAGCTATCGAATCTCCAGAAACTCGAAGGGTGAATTTTGCAGATTCACCAGATTGGTCAGGAGAGGTCAGGTGAATAACCACACTTGGGTCCTGTATGCGTGTCTCACAAACACAGCACACATCCATGCCTGAGTTGCTAGAGTCTTTGCCAACGAAGCCTGTTGGCCAATTTGACGGAGGGTGCGGACATTGAAGGCTCCAATATGTAATTTGGAGCGTGGTTTAAGGAGACCAGGGATGCTGTTCTGTGGACTCAGATCGTTGTCGAAGGCTGCAGAGGTAGGAGAAATTGAAGATGATGCAGCATCATTAATTAAGAGACGTGAAGGAAGATTAGAAGGTAATGATGGAGGAGGAGGATAGCAGTCAGAAGAAACTTGGGTGCTGACAGAGTTGTGAGGGCGGTTGACACTTCCCGGCTGCCCACACCGTGGAAGGCTATTTCTTCTTAAGGTACCTGAAAGAGATTTGTGTGACCGCAGAGCCCATCGGACATCTGCTTGAGGCCTGTCACACCCAGCCTTTTGAGTATGATTATTTTGAACTTTTGTATTTTTGGGGCCGGATGGTCGAAAGGAAACGACAAGTGAACCAACACCGCCGGCCCGGCAGACCGTGGGGCGTGGTGGAGTGTGTTATTTTTGGGGCCGACCTTTTCTAACCCCCCCTTCCACTGAGAAGGCAGCATCAGCATGGCACTGCTGGTCATCCAAGGGAAACACCTTACTGCTGTCACACCCCATCCAGCTAGCAGCAGTACGACTTCGCCCTCAGACCCCCATCATAGTGTAGCAATTTACACTATAACGGTAACTGCTTTTCGTCTAACCACTACCCAACAGACCTTTCTGGTATGGTAGGACCTCGAGGGAACAAGCGTTCCACCAGCATAGCTCGTTGGGTCATTGTGATATGCAAGCCCGACCACCACTTCAAGCAGCTATCGGTCGGGATATAATATATGTATGAAATATATGAACAGTGACCTACTTTCCAATTAATTTCCCATTGTTTATCTTATACTAATTGACGATTCCTATACCCTTCTCATGGTCACTGGCTAATATTTTCACTAATGTGAGTATTTGAAGCTCATGTTTTTATGATTCAATCCAATACGTTAGATTGAATGAACCCTGTAGAATAAGATTGAACCGCTGATCATTATTTGTATTTTTTTTAACCTTCAATTATTATTTATCCTTTGTACATTAAAATCGGTTGATCGACAAAAGCTTTTGCGCTCAGTTTAACCAACATTCAAAGATTTAATCGAAAAGGAATCTGTTTTTGTGACATCTATTGTTAAGCAGTTAATTCTGTGATTATCAACAAAAATAAGAATTATAAACTTTTTTTCCACTTAGCTTACTATGAAATGAAGTTTTTCTTCTTCAAAAACTTTCATTTTATAGGTAGTTCATGAACCGTCACCACGATTACCAGAATCGAGTAGTTATCCAAATTCACTTCGTAAATTTATTGACTCATGTCTAATGAAGAATAAAGAGGATCGACCAAATTATGTTCAGCTGCTTAGTTCAGAATTTTTATCCAATGTGGACGCTAAAAGTGGTCAAGAATCATTCAAAAATTTTTTGGTAGATTTCCTTGATGATAATTAACATCTTGTTAGTAGTAGACGTGTTAATGTTACTGAATAAGATGATGAATAGTAGGAAATATTTTTTATTTTTTTGTTTGCTTTTATCGATGAGAGTATTTTTTACTCCCTTTTATTTTTATGTAATGCATTCCGGTTGTATTCATCGTGAAGATAATCTCTTCCATTTCCCCTTGTCAACACTTTATTTCATGTTTACTTCATACATTGTCTTTATCTTTTGTATAACAGCTTCTTTGGTCTGTCCACGTATTATTCATCTTTCCATTAATATTTACTATAGCGCCGTAATATTGTTACTTCGTCCTATTATTATTCAATCCATTGACTATGTTATGCGAATATGCTTCGTAGGATGTGTGAAACAAATAAAAGATAAGTGGAGAAAAAGTCATCACAACGTCGTTCATATACATATAGTCTTCTTTTTTTTTTTTGCTTTGATGCAGTATTGTTAATAGGATAAAAATTGTTTTATTTTCCTCTATAATGCTCTTTGTGTGTCTATTGTCTTCCCAATTTTGACTAGTACTGATAACTACTAGTCAACATCACTGGATAGGATAGTTAAATCTTTTCCACATCCTTGTCTCTGTGTTGATAACACTGAAGATAAAGCGACCAACCATTTTGATTTCACCTCTTTCTTCCGTAGTATTTTTAAAAAAATGTATGTTTATTACAAATGACGAGAAATAACTTATGAGTTTTCTTTTGTATCATTTATATGTTTGATTTTGCAGAATTCTTCAACTCAATGTACATGTATTTGTCGCTGTTCATTTCTTTCGTTAACATACTGGTGATTCAATCAGTAAACAAGTGAATTTTAAGAAATTAATTTGCTTTCATTACTGGGTAACTTCAATCATTGCAATTTACAAAACTACCTTTTTTTCTTGTTCATATTTAATATGAAGTTGTTAGCCAGTGCATGCTTGTGTGCTGTATGGTCCTTAAAAGTCAGACTTGGTGGCTAGCAGTGGAATCCAGTACGCGCGTTTCGTCCTCTTTGGGATTCATCAGCTAGATGTATCTGCGCCTAAGTGAGTGGTGCTGTTTTCATTGGAACTCAAACCCAGTACTCATGGCTTCAAATACAAAAGCGTTATTCACTGGACCATGAGATCCAGATTAATTGATAATGTACAAAATAAAATTCTTAGGTGACTAGTCAATATTGCTTTAAAAGGCTAGACTGCAATAGACGTCTATTCATAATCTTTACTGCAATTACTTAGGGATACATCCTATCCTGCAGGTAGTATTATTCACCTTTAAAGCTAGTAGTGAAATGGTCTTCCCATGTATACAGGCAAGTTCTGTTCGTATAATAGTCGTACATTAGTATTCTGTAAGTTACATGATTGACTCTCTAGTTTATTGTTATTACATACTTCATATATTTTCATAACATTTAGTTTTAAACTGCATGTTAAAATCGAAAATCGCTATTATTAAAATGAAATTGGTGACTTTTTTCTTCGATAACCACTTCCTCTCTTTTACTAAGCTAACTACTTAAAATAATGATGATGGATAAAGGCTAGCAGTGGGATCCAGGACACACGTTTCATTCTAGTTGGAACTGGTCAGGTGGGCGTACCTGCCCACCAGTGAGTGATGTTGTCCCCACTAGGACTCGGATTCAGGGTCGATCGCTTCAAACGCCAGCACAAGCAACAACATTAGAACTATACCTGTATTGTATATATACTTAGGCAATATCGAGACATCCGCGCAGGAGCGCATACCTTAATAGAAACCGATCAATACTGTCCACTCAACGACGGGATAATACAAGCAACAGCATAAACTACTTAGAAGTTAGGGTATGAGCATGCTGTTATTTTTTAGGATATATTCCAATATGCTGATTTTTTCGAATAACCATTTAAAGAATGCTATCTACAACAAATGACATAGATTCGAAAGCGATTTAATACTGAATAATGTGAATATCTTCTCTTCGCATTTCTCGTATTAGTAAGTTGCTGGAAAGTTTTGTACACACTCTCTGTATATGATGCGCCAACTTATGGGGCCAGTGTTTTAGATAATTGTCGTTATAATTTTTCTTCTGTATGCATTTAAAGTTGTGCTCAATTACCTTTGTGAAATGCAAGGTTGATTGTAAAGAAGAGGTGCGTTAGATTACGAAAGAGGTACTACCTGAAGTATTTGCTAGGAGGGAATTCGACAGCTTCATTTTACTCTAGGAACGATAACCTATTATACAAATTTCTAACAATTGGTTTTTCTAATGAGTTAACCGTTGGATTTGACGTCAAATTTGATAATAATGTCTTTATGCGACTTTCAACATGACTGAATCTGTTCAGTTGATAACTAATAAATTTAATACCTGTTACGATTCACCATATCGGTGCATGTAGAAGTCAAAATAAATCTTTCTTAAGGATCGAAAAAACATTCAAAGCATAAGTGAGAGTCAGGACTAGATAGTTAAATAGAATAAATAACGTGAGTGTTACTAAACCGATATTTCGATTAATTTTTAAAAGTTATGAGTTTTTTTTCTAGCGGAACACTGAATTGCATTACCAGAAAGTGTCGCTAAAATATTTGTTAGGGTCCAAAATAAGCAATTCTTTTATCTCCTTATGAAGTTTTCTTGAAAATTATGACTTTTATGTACAAGAGTGATTGACCAAAGTAGATCTCTGAGCGTCTTTATAGTAAATCTTCACTGAAGATAACTTCTTACATTCCTGAAAAGCACACATTTTGTCAGAATGTTTATGCAATAACTTTTTGATATTGGTCAATTGCACGCAATAGTTGAAAGGAAGTACGCATTACCGATGTTATTAACAACAGACGATAGCAAATAATTCTAGTGGCAATAAAGGAACTGGCATTTCTGAAGCAGAACATCCGTATTCCATCAAAAAATCTTCAAACTACACAATAAGAGTAAAAGCCAGGATAGTTTACTTACGGATAAACTTTCCATCACAACTAATGATGATAAGGCTTTGGTAAGTGGAGAACGCATACCAATAAAAAGCAAGATTCAAATAGACTTATTGTTTTCGTATCATGAAATCTAAAAGGTATTTTTTGAGGCTGACCACAATTTATTCAAGGAGGTCTCGATGTATTGACTCTCCAGATGTTGATCACGATTAAAAAATATTTGTTGAAGACAAAAGTATATCTGGATGAGTCACAGCTGAGAATTGGAGCAATTAGATCATGAAAGAGGCGATAAAATAGAGTAGAACGGAAAAAGGAATTCAACTGTTACAAAAATTTGTATTATTGCAGGGATGATTCAGTATTGAAATGGGACTAGCTACTAATTTGTTTCAATATTAATGAAAAACGACCAATAAAACGTGAGAATATATGAGGTAACACGGTCATAAAGGAGATTTATCTTGAACTCATTGCCAGAAACCGTTTGGCACCATTGACTATAGCTCTGAGCAAATTATAAACTCAGGTTACGCCGCTTTTAATCGATTTAAAAAAAATTATTTGCTGCTAAAGAAAAACTGACATTTCCTTTGTTCTGTTATAACAAAATAGTTCACCGTACAAGATGTGCTTGTTTGATTGTTTTTTGTTCTCTTAGCTGAGTTGTTTAGTCGTGGAACTTTCATCGTCTTTCTAGGCGACATCATTAACTTCAGTATGAAGTCATGACCGGTGGGGCGAACCTCGTGGACGTGAGGACAAATGCTCAGCAATCACATTGGGAGATGGTCGCGTTATGTTGTGAACTGACAGGAGTTGGAATTGTGGACGATTGGATTCCAACCCAATGGCTCAATGGTAACGTGCTGGCCACGGAACCTGAAGGTCATAGGTGCTCACTCCTAAGAGGTCCCTTACTATGACGAAACAGCTGTCCAGTGCTCCCAGGTCCCCAATGTTTCTCTAACTGGTGTCAGTCCATGATGAATATCAGCTTTGTACTGGAGATAATGCTGATGATGTTATTTACAAAGACTATGAAAGCTCCACGATTACACAACCCAGCTCAGAGAACATAATGCAACCAAGACCATCCACCTGAGCTACAAATATTCTCCACCATTTAAAAGGTATGTTTTTACTTGTGTTATCCCGGTGTAGTGTATTAGAACGAGTAAAAAGTAAACAAATATTTTGATTTGTTCCTCAATCTTTCGATCTTGTGAGGAAGATCGTTTTCATGAGTATGAATCTGTCATTTTTTCAGGTTAAATTTTCAAACCATCCAGTCTATTGTTGGTCAAGATACGTTCAAACAGTAAAGTAGCTTGCAATCCACTCTTTCGAAACCAAGCATTACATTATATAGAGACTTTAAAATGTTGTTTTAACTATCACAATATCCTAGGCCTATGAAAATCGTGTACCTCTAAAACATACCATTAGGTGACATTGCTAATCAGACACTACCCGCATCACTCAGCAGTTGCTATGCTCATTTAGAGACGAGCTTACAAATAACGAATATTTTTACTGACCCAGTAGAGGAAAACCTTGCCTGGTTAACTAGTTCACTAGTTACTAGCCGGTCCTAAGCCCAGATAAAGAGGGAAGGTTGGGCATAGGAATAGCAACCCTACCCCGTTAAACCAATCCAATCGCTAAAGAAACTTCAAAGCACGAAAAAAAATAAACTTATCCCTCGCTGGAATCGGAGAGACGAAATGACGCCGGTTGGTGAAAGCCTTCGGGAAGCCAATTGGATGATATGTCTTCTCTCGATGAAAGCGAAAGTAAGAATGGGGACATGGAATGTCTGCACCATGTATGAACCTAGCAAGGCTACCCAGATTGCAAAAGAGATAAGAAGGTATGGCATAGAAGTGCTAGACCAGGAATCTGCGAAAGTAGATGGAACGGAAGTAGACTCTCCTAACTTTCAACTAAAGGAGGAGTCAATAATATGCTCCGATGTTGTCACCCAGACGACAACCACTAGCAAACTGAGTTTTCGAGTGGCTATCACGATGTCACCAAGAGCATCAAAAGCTCTCAGGCAATGGGAACCAGGATCATGGCAGCAAGATTCAACTCAAAAGGAAGGAAAGTCACAATCATACAATGCTACGCTATGCACCTACAAATAATGCAGATCAAGAGAAGAAGGAGGAAATCTACAGGCAACTGCAATCAGTAATAGACAAGATTCCAGTTGGTTACGTCAAAATTCTAATGGGTGGGGTGACATCAATGCCAAACTGGGAGCAGATAACACGAAAAGAATCAATCATGGACACACTAAAAATCAGATCGATTTCATCTCAGTGTGAAGAAAGTGGAGACGCAGCCTACTCAACACTAGATCAGATGAAGAAGGGAAGCAGATGTAGGTTAACACCACTCACTGTCTAGTGCAAGAATCCTTCCATATCAAGTTGAAAACCTTCAAAGAAGGTGATGATAGACCACAGTCCAAGTTCAACACCCGGAACAGAAACTACACTAAATGACGCAACTACAAATGATATCTTCACGTCAGTCAGTCATCAGGAAGAGATGAGAGACATTAACCAACATCCCTGAGAAAACCTACCTGTAGGAACACTGGAACTCTTTGGAAGAGACGTGGAAGGAAACCTGCATAACCATGTTAGGAGGGAAGATGAAGAGGCAAGACAAAGAACCGATCTCGACGGATTCATGGGGCTGATATAGGAGGGAGAGGAAGATAGTGACTCAGAAGGTGAACCAGTGCAGTGCAGTGCAGGGATGAACAAGGAAAAGAGGAACTGAGTACAACCTATTGAACATTGAACAAAGAAGCGACGAAGAGTGCGCGGGGAGATAAAAGACACTTCCATGACACATTGGCAAGTGAAGCAGAACAGGTTGCAGGTAGGATAGACCTGACAACACTAAATCAAATAACCAGGTTGCTATCAGGGAAGAGATCAACGCAGACGAAACCAATGAAAGATAGCGAAGGAAACCTGGATAGCAAAGAGGAGAACCAAAGGAAACGATGAGCTGACCACTTCAAAAAACTCTTGAATCGGCCACCACCACCTGCAACTCGTCCAGAAATACCACTAGCAACCCAGCCACAGAACTACAAGTGAACAAAAGCCCTTCGACAAGCAGAAGTCCTGAACGTTGTAGAGTTGCTGAAATCCGTGGAAGCAGAAGGACCAGATGGAATTCTTCCGGAAGCACTGAAAACAGATGCAGAGACAACAGCAGACATGCTCACACCACACTACTACTGAAGAAGGTTTGGAAGGAAGGAAGAAAAGTTACCTGCTGATTGATTGGAAAAAGGGCTACCTTGTCAAACTGCTAAAGAAGGGGGACCTAAGTCTTTGCAAGAACTGGTGAAGAATCATAGCGCTGTCCTCCCCAAGGAAGAACAAATCATGTGCGGATCAAATATCAACGCTATGCATCATCATATAACAGAGTATGGAATGGCTGTCAACTCTCTACCTTACCTCAACTTGATCGATTTTGAAAAGGCCTTCGACAGTGTCTACCGAGAAGTAATTTGGCAGCTGCTTCAATACTACGGAGTATCACAAACCTTTATCCGCCTCATTCAACAGCTATATGAAGACGCCACATGCCAAGTGATTCAAAATGGAAAACTCAGTGACGCCTTTGAAGTTTGGACAGGAGTAAGACAAGGTTGCCACCTACTATCACCGATGACCTTCCTGTTTGTGGTCGACTGCATCATGCAGGAAACCGTGAGCAGCGAGAAGATGGGCATACGCTGTTTGACCGATGAAAAGAGCCTAGACGATTTTGATTTCGCCGCTGATGATGACTTGTGTTCAATGTGTTGTCGCACAAACTCGAAGATCTACAGACAAAAACCAACAAGTTGACAGAAGAGGTAGAGCAGCGAAAACATGACTTCAAGTGAACGTGGAGAAGACGGGGTTGATGAGGATATCCAATGGACAACATCAACAACAAGCACCAATCACCATTAACAGGAGAAGGCTGACTGAAGTAGTCTGTTTCACCTACCTGCCCAGGTAGCATGGTTTCAACCTCGGACGGTGGCGCCGGGAAGGATGAGGATGTGAAAGCCAGTATTAGAAAGACAGCAAGACAGGCCTTCCTGCAATGATCTGAAATGGGTGTGGAGATGGACTGCACTCCACTCAGCATAAAGCGTGAACAAGATCCGGATTTCCAACACCATCGTGAAGTCAGTGCTTTTATATGGTTCAGAAACTTGGCGCGTTATGGAAGGCATTTCCAAGCGTGAACAAGATCCGGACTTTCAACACTAATACCAGTCAAGTGAATGCTTCTATGTGATGGTTGAGAGAGATTTGGTGGGGTGTTACGAAAATCATTTCCAACAAACTACAGACATTCATCAGCAGCTGCTTACCCTCACTCACTACTGAAGATCAGATGACCAGACAGAATAAGCAACAAGGAACTCTGTCTGGCTGGCAACGAACCAAGGAAGCAAGAAGCCATCACCCAACACATGTGTAGAAGAAAGTGGAGATGGATTGTGCATACACTGAGAAAACTGATTGAGGACATCACGCGTCAGGCAGTCGAGTGGAACCCCGATGAGAAGCGACGAGTTGGGTGTGTGAGGTGAGGGTGACATGGAGGAGATCATGTGAGGAAGAAATGGAAGCCTGTAGGCAGTCGTGGAGCAGGGTTCAAAAGCCTGCGGAGAAGAGAGTGAAAAGGAGACGTACTACTGAAGCCTTATGTTCCACTAGAAATTCAAAGGACAAATGATTATAAAAAGTAGGGGAAAATAAGAAGTTCCAACAAACTTGATTGGTCGGATTAGTGTATTTGTTTTGAAAGAAATCCTACCTAGAACCTTTTTTACAAGCTCAAGAGTTTTGTATTGATCGCCTAATTATTCCCCTACGGCCAATGATTAAAAATAGCTGCATCTTAAGAAAAATTATTGCGCAAAAATTCCGTTTTCGATGTATAAAGTTGGTAATTTCATTTTTGTGAACTACAGTACGTTTCGAGTTTATCAATCCAGTGTGTTCATGTATAACTCATATCAAAAGCAATAGGGATGGTGAGCACAAATCTTAGACTTCGCTGAACGGAGATTAAGGGACGAGGGAAATCGTGTGACTGATCTATGTGTAAATATTGGGTATACGAGCAGCTGCAGTTGCTTAGGGAATTAATCCTGTACTCAAAGATATAAGCGAATTAAAAAACCAGGTGATATGAACACCGAAAAGTTATAACACTTAACAGAACTCAGTGTTCATCAGGGACTGACATTGGTTTTAGAACCATTGAAAACCTGGGAGCATTGGACAGCTGTTTCATGCTAGTATTGGACTCCCGAGCAGTGCGCACCCACGACTCCGCCAGGGATTGAACTCGGGATCTGTAGGTCTCACAGCGAATGTATTAACCGTTCAGCCACTGGGTTGGAGTTCAATGGTCCACAGTTTATTACTTCCGTTAATTCACTCTCAAAATAAGTTACATAACAGAACAAATTCACATAATGAAACCTATTTTTTAGGTCTCCTAAATGTGATCCGTTGACTTACATGAACTGGTATACCGACGTTATGAAGAAGTTGTAAATTAATCATGAAATGTTTGCATTTCGGTTGCCACAGCTTAGTACCTACTTCAATTTGATCTACCTGATGAAACCTGTAAGTCAGTTTGTTTGGTGTAAATTAGTTAGCTGTGATTTCTAAATTGGAAGTTAAAACTCAGTCTGCCGTTGTTGACTTTCAATGGAACCCTTTTTGATGCGACTGTGGTTGCTTAAAATGGTTATAACGGCTAGTTAATATATATGCTTGGATCTCGTACTCGAACCGATAACTCCACAACGTAACTCACACTTTCACATGACTCTAGCTTTCTACATTCTTCACTTTCTGAGTATCACTCCGCTTGTCTACGACTTTTCCACGTCCATGAGTCACCAACTAAACCGAACGCAAGACAAGATGTTTACAACCCTGATATGAACAGTCTTTTTTCCTTTTCTCCCCAGGGTAGAGGACAAAAGCTGATAGTCACTATCTTAATTTTTAATTTTTGCTCTAAGTCATCTATCTATCCAAGTCAATCATATGTTCGCATCATACCACTATTCAAAAAAAAAAAAATAGCTGAAAATGGACTTATATGCGATAATTGCTTATCTTTAACAGTCAGTTATTTTGGAACCACATATCCCATGAAAGTAATTAAGAAGTCGATACAAAACTTTTGAGCTGAACTATACAATGATGCTAATAAATAGGTGGATAAAATAGTTCAATCTACAATACTTTCTTCTCAGATGGTCATTTCGTTTTCTTTGCTCCCTTATGATCGCGTGACGTTGATTCGGAAAATGTTATCTGATATCGCTTTTGATAGATTTTCTATTTATTAGCTTTGAACACTGCATTTCTAATTCTGATTATTTTGGAAGTCGACGTCGTAGCCATTGCTCTTTGTAGCACCAGATCTTAACTCATCACTTCGGAGATAGTTTGCTTATAGACTGACTGCATTTTATTTAGTAATTATTAAATGACTTAACCAGTGTGGGCTGGTTTTTAGCTATTCATATTGTATAGAGGTATATTTCAGTGATTTGAGCTTTTTTTGTACCAGAAGTTAACCATTGTAATGTTTACAGGATTTCTAGTGGAAACCCTATTGATATCACAGATGTGCGGTTTCGAAACCACTCAGTTGTGCGAGATATAAACTGTACAGTTTGAAATCGGTCATCCTACTGAATGCACACTCGTCCATACAATTCACCTGACCATATTCAATTAATCTATACACTTCGACCCTGTAAGTTAGAATTAGTTAGAATTACACAGCGTTATGGAGTCGTAGTCTCTCTGATTTGGCAGGTGTTACCTATAAATCAAAACGACTGGTTGTGAACTACACATGTTGTTCAGTCAAGTATTTCAAGATTTTCTTATTTTTTCTTCGCTTCCGAAAGGTTATGTTCGAAATCTCGAATCATTGCTATGCCATTTAGACCATATTTTCCAGTAGTTATCGCATATATCCACCAAATTTGTTAAAACTATGATTTCATCTTTACTAAGTAACTATTTTCAAGAGACCTCAATAAAAGTTGTTAATTTAGCTTAATTTCTTTACTCGGGAAATATGACTCTTTTAATACCATATTGATTTGTTAAAATGAAAATATTGAAAAATTAAATTTTTTGTTGTTGAGTTTCTTGATTTTCTCACTAGTACATTCTGATAAATATCACCTGATTGCTTGTAAACACTAGTGTAACGTATCAGTTTTATTCTGATGTATATTGTGTGTAAAATTCAGTTAAGGGTGTACAGCTACCGATAAAAAGTTTAGCAACTGAATGAAGATTCTAATTTTAGATCACATTTTGATTTGATAGTACAAATCACAAAAAAAGAAACATTACAGTTGGTAGTAGAGCCAATAATTCTGTTAAGTGGAATTGCCAAAAACACCTTTCAATATTAATTACTAAACTTTTGATCATCACTCTACATCGACTAACCTTTTCTCAGAAAAAGGCCCGAGGTGGCCAGACTAAAACATGGCACCAATGTATGAAGTCTCTGACTGTTGGTTTAAGCCATGTAGGACGATGCAGACTAGATGGTTGGGGTCCACGGGACAAGAGGAACCAGTGGTTGGAGACCCTAGGTGATGGCATGGCTCAGAACCGATGTCAGTGGCGCAGATGTATACACACATTATCCTCATCTTAACGACGCTATACCGAATCTCACCGTTTTGTCACTCCTCTTTCTTTTCTTCTCGTACTTTATATCTCTTTTGACTGCATTCTCTTATCTTCATCCTTCACCTCACTACCTTTTTACTTGGTGTGCTGATATGAGGTGTGGCAACTCGGACCGTTACGCAGTAATGCCTGGTCGGTCCTATGTTGATAATGATGATGATGATGATGAGATATTTTTGTTGCGTGTTAGTTCTAGGACTATTTTTTTTTCGTTTCTGTACAGGTTACAACTTTCACTCTTTGTAGTCAATGCTAAATTCCGAAGTAGCTGTGATCGATTCACTAGGATTTAATAAGTAATAGCATACGGGAGAAAGTGTCAACTTACACCAGTTCTGTTAGTCATTCACTTCCTGGAAAAATAACTTTCAATTGCAATGATCGAATTTTTTTCACTATCGATAAAAATTTCTTTATTTACATTACCTAGTCTTTATTTTCCAGTGGATTTCGACATAGCTAAAGAATTAATCCTGTCACGGCTTTCAAGAATAGGCCTGAGGGTGATAAATATGTAATTTTTGTTATAATTACTCGTCAACCTGGAAGATATGTTTATGTATTTCTCTGTGAGCCATGAATGTTCTATGGAAGTTTATGGTACTGTATGATCGAGCACGCCGAAGTAGATGACGTAAGCTTTGAACTCAAAACGCATTGGTTGAAAGTCACCAATTTAAGCCAATGAGTCATAACTCCAGTGTGTTTACTAAACAATAACGTGTGCATACCACACGACCGTTACGTAGTAATGCCTCGTCCTGTGTTGATGATGATGGATATCACACACCTAGGATGTTTGCGTCAATGTCCTCCTCACTAGGATTGCGCGATATTAGTGATAGACAAGGAGTAGTAATGGAATCTATAACGTGGGTTCCGTCGGGATTCTTTAGATGGTTGTGCTTGCTTCTCACTGAGATTCAAACACAGATTACATTGCCTCAAATGCTAGAGCTGATAGATCATGAAAGTCGCTACCCCTTGCAACGAGTATAGTTTTAATGTTGCAACTTTTCGGATATTTGTTATAATCTTATTTCATTTACTTTCTTAGTGTACTGATGACATTAAATTTAAGGGTAGTTTCTCCTACCTATATCTTTATAAGCTGAAGTTATACACCATAGCATTATTATGCTGAGTAGACGAATTCTTTTTTCGTTTGTTAAGAACTAATATGGAATAACTATACTCAGGTCCTATGCAAAGATTGTTTCAGTTCATTCATAGTGAATTATGTGGTTTAGGTAGCCGCTTACTTGCCCAAATCTGATTTATCGATATTATGATCCTTTTTATACACAAATGATTGTCTTGCAAACATTTCGTCTTGGATTCGTATGAACCAGACAGTTTTGGTCTCGTACTTTTTTCAACTGAATGATTTAATCACAACTACGGCAACATGTGGAGCAACGACCTGAACTTAAAATTGCCTCCAACTTTTTGTTCTACGATCAATTAACTTTATGGACGATATTAAACAATGAAATCAAAAGCTAAGTAGTATGACAACATTGTTTTAATTTTTCTCTAATAATAACAATTATTAGTATTTCGTTATATGTTGATTGGGTTTGCTATTTTTTTTTGATAGAGAAGAATTAATATTCTTCACCTTCTTCATTTTCACCTTCAGCATCCACACTGTCAACACCAACTTCTTCATAATCCTTTTCTAGTGCTGCTAAATCTTCACGGGCTTCAGAGAATTCTCCTTCTTCCATACCTTCACCAACATACCAATGAACAAATGCACGTTTAGCATACATTAGATCAAATTTATGATCTAAACGTGCCCAAGCTTCAGCAATAGCAGTTGTGTTGCTTAACATACAGACAGCTCGTTGCACCTTAGCTAAATCACCGCCTGGTACAACTGTTGGTGGTTGATAATTGATGCCAACCTTAAATCCTGTTGGACACCAGTCTACAAATTGAATTGTTCTCTTAGTTTTGATTGTAGCTATAGCAGCATTCACATCTTTCGGTACAACATCTCCGCGATACAGCATACAACAAGCCATATACTTTCCGTGACGTGGGTCACATTTCACCATTTGGTTAGCTGGTTCAAAACAGGCATTGGTAATTTCTGCAACACTCAACTGTTCATGGTAGGCTTTTTCCGCAGAAATTACTGGTGCATAAGTGGCCAAAGGAAAGTGAATTCGAGGATATGGTACGAGGTTTGTTTGAAATTCTGTTAAATCAACATTTAGAGCACCGTCAAATCGAAGTGATGCGGTAATTGAACTGACAATTTGACCAATCAGACGGTTCAAATTCGTGTATGTTGGTCGTTCAATATCCAGATTACGTCTAAAAAGGAATATTCGTAAATTAATTTTTTAAAATCTTTGAGAAATCTTTCGAAAAAAAACATTCTGAAAAGAAATGAACGGTTGAACCTACCTGCATATGTCATAAATAGCCTCATTATCCACCATAAATGCACAGTCAGAATGTTCAAGTGTGGTGTGAGTAGTTAAGATTGAATTATATGGCTCTACCACGGCCGTTGAAATCTGAGGCGCTGGATAGATTGCAAATTCTAATTTAGACTTTTTTCCATAATCCACACTCAAACGTTCCATAAGTAAAGATGTAAAACCTGATCCTGTACCACCACCAAATGAGTGGAAAAGCAAGAAACCTTGAAGACCAGTACACTGATCTGCCAGTTTACGAATACGATCTAGTACCAGATCTACAATTTCTTTGCCAATTGTATAATGTCCTCTTGCATAATTATTAGCTGCATCTTCTTTTCCGGTTATCAGTTGTTCTGGGTGAAACAACTGTCTATAAGTACCGTCCGAACCTCATCTTTTAAAATAATAAAAAATATTCAAATAGACTAAATTAGAAAAAGATTCCACCGAATAGCATAGTACAAATTTTTAAAACATACCAACTATTTCTTACTGGTGCATTTACTTGCATACAGTACAGCTACAGCCTACCTCGAAAAGTCGGATTAAGATGGAAAAAGGTTCAAAGCGGCCATGCAAAGACCTGGAACCAGTCGATGACTGTTGGCTTGAGCCATGTGGAGAAATACAGATTGTCTGGTTAGGGTCCCCAAGACGAGAGGAATCAGTGGTTGAGGACTCTTGGTGATATGGCTGAAGATTGGTCACAATGGCGCAGATATTTTCACCCACTGACATCTTGTAAGACTTCAGTAATCGCAGTAACCTTTATCTTTAGACTATTTATTCTCTCACACCACTTTATCTACTTTAATATCATTCCTTTTCATAGACTTGTTCTTTGTCTACTTTGTGAATTGTGGCAACTTGAACAGATGCACTCCTATGCAAGGTTCTACACTGATTTTGTCAGTCACAGCTAAGAAATAACTTCCGAACTTCACAATGTGTCGTATGGTTTTTAAAAACTTTACTAGTCCATATATATGTCTGAATAAAATGTAAGCCAAACCATGGTCTATAAAAGTTGTAGGTTTAATTTCCTAAAGACTATGATGAAAATATCATGTTAGGTCTAGAGTGAGGCATTGAATCAATGAAGTTTTATCTTGCTTATTTAAATTACGATAAGATTTTATTCACTAAACTGATAACACTAAAATAATCTTTATTGAAAAGCTTAAAGTTGACTGTAGATGCTGCATAAAAATTCATACTGATTAAGAAAATGCAGATTGTGATATCAAACATTGACCCTAAACTTAGTTAGAATTTCTGAACTCATAATAACTATTTCCTAATTATGTACTAATAATTTCAGGTGAATATCAATTTGTTAGTTGGATGGATGCAATCGGTAGGAAGTCTTTCACCTAGGTTTTCTGCCTTTTAGCACTTGCCCAAAAGGCATATCTGCAACCGCGACGGAAATGGTATGCTAGATGAGATTTAAATCCGCGTCTCCCAGTACAGCAGTTGAAGACGTCAGCACTGAGCTATTCGCGCTGCGACTGACCATCTGTAGGACTGGATTATGAATTTCGACGTCTTCAACAAATGAGTAAAAATAGAAATCAGAACGAATGATGAACCTTAGGCGATAACGACTTCTATTTATTTACATTATGTTATCAATCTGAATGGTAATTAGGATATCAGTTAGCGAACAGTTCTCTGCTAAATATCAATGTTTAGTAATTGTTTTATTTAATTTTTTTTAAATAAAAGTAATGAACTGACTGACTAACCTACAACTGTTGGTTCCAAGTCTACAAAAACTGCACGAGGCACATGTTTGCCTGCACCAGTTTCACTGAAAAATGTATTGAATGAATCATCACCACCACCAATTGTTTTATCAGAAGGCATTTGACCATCAGGTTGAATACCATGCTCCAAGCAATACAACTCCCAACAAGCATTACCAATTTGAACACCAGCTTGACCAACATGAATTGAAATACACTCACGCTGTAGTAAAGTACAATAATTTTCTTAGTAAAAATCAGTTGTTCAGCGACAATTAGATTAAATAATTTATCTAATATACTTCAACTCACCATTTTTTAATTAAGCTAGTCACGAACTGAGCTATGATTGTAGTTATTTTTTCCGATGACATTAAATTACTCTTTGCTTATATATTGTGATTTAACTGAATTTCGTTGCCATGACAATGAACCGGTTACTATGATATTTATGTTTCCAGTGAGTGATTTTTATTGGTTGGCTTCAGATTTAGTCTTTTCACAGAGCTGAAGATGTGTTTTCCTATTAAACATTGATGCACCAAAAAGTTTAATATATAGATAAAATTTCAGTTTGGAATTTATGAATACAATTCCAGAAGCTTCATATCAGATGCAGAAGAATTTAGTACCTTCGGTAAACTACTTCGACACTGTCTATCCACACGGAAACCAGAGTTCTGAAAACTTTTTTTCATTTTAGAAGTGAAGTAAAATTTCATAGAGAGCTGATGAAATCACCTTAGTTCTTCTTTTGTGATTCCTGACTTACAGAGTTGAAATTATATTCTATGTCTGTAAACTGAACATATTGACAGTTTTCAGACGTTGCTAGATGATATAGATGGAAGTTATAGTAATACGGAGTTCACTATGCAGATGCACTGTCTCTAGAAACTTGATTTTCAGTAGTTTAATGGAAAAAATTTACATTGTACTAAGTTAATTGGATGAATTTCTGAGAAATAACTTTGTTGCATAGAGTAGTTGATGATAACTTTAGCTGTAATGTAGGCCAGGTCACGTTCCTTTGTATGTGAACACGAATAATGTAAAACTGAATTTTGAGTCGAAATTGTTACCTCTTGTGAAAAAATAAGTACCGTTTATAAACAGTTAAAACTGATTTATATCGATTAGTTGCTTGTGAAGCATAGTTTTCGAGAGAGATCATCTGAGAACATTTGTGTTCCAGTTCTAAACTAATTAAGTGTCATAAATTATCTCTCTATAGTCTGATAACGTTGCATATTGCACAATACTTGAAAAGCCTGAAGAACTCGACAGCACTTGTCACTAAGTAGTGAGAATGTTGAGTGAATTAATCGTCCACTTCTCATTTTCAACTGTTCTTTAGTGGTTTTCATTCTACGAAAATGGAATTCAAGATATCAAAGCTCAAGGAATTAACTAGTTTAAATGGATTGATCCCGTCTTTCGTGGTCAATAATGTACAACTGAACATTGCGACTGGATCATGACTTTTGGACACATCGTTTGAAATAAATCAGAAGTTTTGGTTCCATGTATTATTATTACTATCATCGCTATTGATGTATTTTGAGGTGAATTAATATTTTAATACTAAGGCAGTATTCATCAGGGACTAACAGCAGTTGGAGAACCATTAGGAACCTGGGAGTACAAGAGAGATGTTTCGTGGTAATATGGGGCTCCTCAGCAGAACGCACCCACGACCCGGCCGGGGATCGACCTGAGGACCTTCAGGTTTTATGGTGAAGGCATAAATCATCCAGCCACTGGATCGGAGTTCAATACTTTCCAGTGTCCATACCAGGACGACACAGCTGCTCAGTGCTCTCAGATTTTCAGTGGTTCTCCAACTGATGTCAGTCCGTGATGAATACTACCTCAAAATTATTATTATTAGTTGCCAATTAGTCATTTAGTGTTCAAGCGGTCGACTCTAAAGACCACCCTAACAACTAACGAAGTAACCAATTAAAGTTCTGCATTTTACAAGGAAAACTACTTTCCCAGTCGAAATAACGAAACCTGCTGGCTTATTTCATTTGTTTCTAGGGTGATCTTCCGACACTTGTTCTGGTCAAATGCTTTTGGATTCTCACCTAGTCATTTTTTGAAAATTTGATACTTATACGGACCATAATTTAATCACACTCATCTCCATATGCTTAAGCGGAGTTGTGTTATTTCGGATACCCCATTGTTCTTATTTACGGTAACTATGCATATGTAGTAATCAATGACTGGATACTAACCTTGATTCTTAATTTCAGCTGCACTTTGAAAAGAGCTGAATAGCTGTAAAAACGTATTGTAAACCTGGATTACGGTGTAGGATATTGAGATATAAACTGTCTCCATTAGGGTGGTTAATAACAGAAACCACTTTATCGACCGCTTGCATAGTTTTTTTGCAGTATTTCTGGGATACATCGAGCGAAGAAGACTTTTGCCGTTTTCCTTTCACATATCCCTGAGTAGATAGGACTCGAAACTCTCTATATAGCAAGTAATTTTAGGCTAACAAGGATAAGTTCTTATCAAAACACGTGTTTTTCATGTGAATGTATCACTCGTCATTTATACCACTGTGGTGTTTGAAGCGATGGTTAATGGGTTTTAGTCTCAATGGGAACAACATCACATAATGGGGTGCAGGTACGACCGGCTGACGAGTCCCAAGTGGGACGAAACGCACGTCTTGTTTTCCGCTGAGTTACCAGGACGGGTAAAATGTCACGAATATCCATCAGTATCGAGGCACCCACATAGGAGTCCATCTGCCAACAACAGACGTCGAGCAATTCAGCCTTGTATAACAACCAGAAAATACAAATATCAAAACAACAAATGATACCTCTTGTACAAATGGTGCCTGTCGTGCCACAATGACCTAGTGTATAACGCATTGGCATTTGAAGCCAAGGATAATGGGTTAGACTGTTAGTGGGAACAACATCAATGACTGAGGTTCAGATACACCCAACTGACGAGTCTTAAATAGGACGAAACGAGCGTATTGGATTCTACTACTAACCATCAAGTAGACTGCAACACTGTGAAACTAGTTTATCTCTTTGTTTATTAGAATGAACAAGAATGAGATGGCTAGTAAGAAGTAATCGACTCACCCTTATCCATACTTTTTCAATTCCTATGAACACTACAAATTGAAGTTAGTCATTAGAAGTAACAACAACATAGCATTGGTTCACCTTATTGGAGTAAAGATTAGAGCGTAAAATCCTGGAAGAACAATGGGATGTTGAATTCAAGGCATACAGAATCGTAGTCAGAAGTTAGGAACTTCGCACTTTACACTGAAGGGTATCACTTTAAATTGCCAAGCTTGTTAATAACTACAAAGAAGCAGTGAAGAGATAGAATGAGGGAATAGAATGGCGTTATTGTGTAGTCTAGATAACCATAACTCAGATATATTCACTCTTTGTCATTTGTGCTGCTTTGGAAAATTTACAAATTCTTCTCATAACCTTATGCTCTCGTTCCATATTCTTTGTCGACATTTCAATACTACTCTATTTGTCATGCATTTATTCCTATGATGTGGGCTAGCCATCTAAATTCGTTCTCTCTGGTTCAGCTGATGTTACGTTAGTGAACGTAGCATCAACTTGCAGCACAATAACAGGACTAGCGTTCGAGCATTTCCTTTAATCCATCTAGCCGGAGTTATAACATGTTATGGAGAATATTTTTAGTTCATAAAGATAATTTTGATGGTGTTGTGTTCTCTAAGCTGAATGGTTTAATTGTAAAGTGTAAACTTCAGATGTTTGTGTTAATGATTTTATCTAGACGATATTGTCAAATAATTCTCTCCAAAGATAGTATAAAAACTGTTGTACTCATATAATGATTTGTATTCTTCGAGAATCGTAAAATTTACAAAATTTACAATTTATACCGACTTCTACAGAAGATTCTTCGAATATCGTGTACAGAATTTAATTTTATCATATCTACGGGTATCTACCATTATGAATTCGTTGAATATTATATTCCTCATCTTGAGCTTTATTTTCTTGAGTGAGAATACGAATGCATAATACAACAGTTACCAGGGCCGCTGTTATGAATTATATTTTACAAAGTTCATCTATTAACACTAGATATAACAAAATTGTATTTTGTTTTCAATACAATTTACACCTATCTTTAACTTATTATCTGATACCTATATCTACTGTGGAAGGAATAAGATATCATCTATTTATATGAAAGACTAAATAGTCAATTTCTACACTTTATCAATGCAAATGATCGCAGTAAGAATTTCGTTTATTTCCTTCATTCATAATACCCCTCCCTTCTAATTGAGGTTTAATAAACCTATTAGAAATCCAATTAAAACCTATTTGAGAAGTTGATATCATACTTATGAAAATAAAACCAGGTTTCCATCATTCAGTTTATCATTCTATCTTTTGCTATTTATAATGATAATAAATTTAAGGTGATAACAACATAGTAACATTTGTAAAATACCAGTCGTTTGTTACTATGGCAACAAGTTCGGAGATGATATTTAATAACTGCATATTACTGGATGATATATAAAAACACTAGGCCAATTAGTGGTGTATAATTATCTCTAATATACCAGCTAAGTTGCTTAAAGCTTTTTTGACCTCAAACTACTGGTTGTTTCATTTCATAAGCAATTAAAATAAAATTTTATGAATGACTACTCGGTACCTTTTGAGAACCTTATTTTAAAGGGTTAACTCCGAACAAAACAAAGGCCTCTAAAAGTCATTTTAGTCCCTACTGGAATAACCAATTAAGTTTCTTGATTTTATCAAAAAGCTACTTTTCCAGTTAAAATAAAGAAAGCTAAGTGGTCACTTGAGCAATCGCCAGGATGGCCTTTGAAGTTGCATTTATGCTGTCACTGAACTTGTAATTAGTATTATATTCACCTTGATGACTAGCAGCGGAATCCGTGAAGGGGATTTCGCCCTATTTAGTACTCATCAGTTGGGTGTACCTGAAACTCAGTCAATGATGTTGTTCCCACTAACAGTCTAATCCACTATCCCTGGCTTCAAATGCCAATGCGTTATACACTAGGTCATTGTGGCACGACAGGCACCATTTGTACAAGAGGTATCATTTGTTGTTTTGATATTTGTATTTTCTGTTTGTTATACAAGGCTGAATTGCTCGACGTCTGTTGTTGGCAGATGGACTCCTATGTGGGTGCCTCGATACTACTGGATATTCATGATGTAATATTTATCTTGGTGACTAGTAGTAGCATTTCGTCATTTATTATTTCAATATAATTTTGAGTAAACTTAACT